CTGTTTCACCGGAAATGACTACAACTTTTGATTTTTAAATGGCACACTCGGTATTTTTTTACTTTATTTGATTATAAATGACACTCTGAAAACATTGACATATCATATGTCAACTTTTGACATTCTCGCTTAATAAAAAATCGTATTTTAAAATCCAATCTAGAGTGCAATGGCTTGTTAAAAACACTAATTCTTAATCAAGGAGACTTGGAGAAATAGATTAAATCGTCTAATGTTTTAAGTGTCTTGTCCTGGCCAGTTAGAAAATGCTCAAATCGTATTTTTAATCATACCTCGATTTTTTTAAATGGAACGAGGGTAGCTCATTAGCATATTTGGAAAAAGCATTTTTTTACGAATAATTTGATACCACACAATTGGTATTTCGAGTAAAATTTTCCTTACGAACCGCAAGTTATAATTTCAAATAAACCATATGCAAAAATGTCAAAAGTTGACATATTATATGTCATTCTATTCAGAGTGTTATTTTCTATCGAATAAAGTAAAACAAATATCGGCCATTTAAAAATCAAAAGTTGTAGTCATTTCCGTTAAAACCGGAAGTGACCGAAAACAATTGAATACACCAATCTATAGTAATTTATGTCATATACTAACATACCAAATCTCGTTTTTTTTTAATTGAAAAAAAAATAAAAATAAAAAGTTATAGGGGTGAGCCACTTTTGAGATCGCACCCGGTATAGCACTATTATAAGTATCATCACCTGTAATTTTATCTGCTCTTACTTTACCTTGATCGACACACCCACGTAACTCCTTCATTAAATAGAAAAAAGCACACTTGATGGCATTCGAATATGACTTATATAAGTAATGTAAAAGGGCAACTTCGTGCAACCGCATCACTTATTACTTTATATAAAAAATTATTCATTTACGGAATTCATGATGCTAGATTCTGATTAGTGTTCTTTGTTTTAACAGCACAATGTCGTTATTTACTTTTTAATGTCACGCTGACCGTCCACATATAACAGTGAAAAATAATAATCTAAAATCTTAAAACAACGTATTATAAATTGCAATTGGAAAGGATATTTTTATGTATGTACAGGGTGGGTCATATTAGACGATTTTAAATGTAAACACCCTTTTCTATAGGAGATAGACGAAAACTAATATCGGTGTCTGGCGCTCAATTTTCATCAAAAACATTATGGTGAAAACCGCAAATCAGTATCTGTTACCGTTTCGGAGTTACGGGGTGTTTTTAAAAAATGTGCATTTTTAACAAATCGCTGTAACTTTTTTTGCTATGGAAAATTTTGTATTACTATGAAAACATTTCCAAAGCACCTTTTTACGTAGAATTTAATGGTTTAAGTATACTTTTTTTAAAATTAATAATTTAAGAGTTATCAACAGAAAAATTGATTTTTTATTTGGGACACCCTCTATATTTTTAATTAACCGAAAATAATTTAAAATTACCTTTCCAAAAATATAGCACATTTGATATTTTGTTATAATCGCCTTCGAAATACAGAATTTTTAAAAGTTTGCCACTTTTAACTAGTAGGCTTTTGACTCATTATTGATGATATGCCTTTAATGGAACTTGAAAACATATTTTTCCAGCAAGACGATACGCACAGCCTCTGAACGCTGAAGTTATCACAAATTTTTAAAGCCAATTTCAAGAATAATTGAATAGCTAGCCAATGGCCGTCGAGGCCGCCTGACTTAGTGTCATAGCTTAGTGCCCATGGATCTAATCCTATGGATATATTTGCGGAAGAATAAAGGTTCCTTATTCTTCCGTATAATCTACATAAGAATTAGAAATACTTAGCAGTTATGAAAGGGTATCTTTCACCCCCACTGAGTTAACGAATTCCACGAGAAATGTTCAAAAACTGCCCCGTCTGTCCATAACAGATGACGGTCGATATGTCGAACACCTGTAGCAAAATCTCATGTCTTGGTTTGCTATTTATTTTTATTATGAGATATAGTTTAAATGTGTTGATGTTGGTTAAATATAGTCTGTCCAACGAGAAGATCCTTGACAGTGATAGATGTGTCTGTCATTTTAATTTCAAAGTAGTTTATTTTATTTTACAAAGAAATAAGTTGGTACAACTGGAACGCATAGCAGGAAATATTTAAAATTTGATTGACAAGATGACAAGTGATTACTTCAAAATATTGTGAAAAAAACTGTATAAAACTGAAAAAATGTAATTGAGTTATTTCATTTAATAAAATCGGTATGTGTTAATACAAAACAAACAAGAACAAGACACTACATACCAAAAAAATATAAAAAAAAAACTAATATTTACTTTCAAGCTTTATGAAACTACCCGCATTTATAATTATATTTATCAATATAAGTTATGTACAAATACAAATTTGTAATATTCCACTAAACTGTGCTCTTGGTCTACAGTTAATTTTCACTCGATTTTTCCTCCATACGTAATAACACGAATCAAAATGCATCATCTTCCACAAAACATACGTAATAACACGAATCAAAATGCATCATCTTCCAAAAGGCAGGGTATTTAACAAAACTTGACACAAAATTATAACCTATAATTTGGCAAGAATTTGACAAGCGTCAAAAATGACAAAAATCTAAAGGCGAGTTCATACGCATCGGCGTCCGTTTGTCGTTCATCGTTCCGTCAAACCAATAAAATTGAAATACGATCTGTCACTTTTTAAATAAACCAATAAAACTGGTTAAAAACAACAAGACACGACGCATGACGGATCTATATTTAAACCCATCCATAGATAACTTAAAAATTATTAGAAACTTTTTTTAGTAAAATAAATAGATTGGTATGGAACGTCATCTGCTTTTCTTGTGTCATCGTCTGTCGAAATCTTACCTGAGAAAAAAAACAGAGTATATATTTTAAAATGTTATAAAATTCTGCATCTCTCATAGCAAATATCATTTTCGTTTTAATTGCTGCTCACAGCTAGAATTTTTTTGCTTTACAGCCGGTGCCGTTCAAAGCCTATACTTATTTAAAGCGGGCGAATTTTTATATACTCTATATCTCGAAGAGGAATCGTGCAAAATATCAAGTTTGTTATATTTTTGGAAATGTAATTTTAAATTCTTTTCAATAAATTAAAAATATACAGGGCGTCCCATATAAAAAATCAAATTTTCTGTTGATAATTCTTAAATTATCAATTTAAAAATTAATACTTAAACCGTTAATATATATATATATATATATATATATATATATATATATATATATATATATATATATATATATATATATATATATATATATATATATATATACTTAAACCGTTAATATATATATATATATATATATATATAATATATATATATATATATATATATATATATATATATATATATATATATATATATATATATATATATATATATATATATATATATATATATATATATATATATATATATATATATATATATATATATATATATATATATATATATATATATATTCTACGTAAAAAGGTGCTATGGAAATGTTTTCATAAAAATACAAAATTTTCCATAGCAAAAAAGTTACAGCGATTTGTTAAAAATGCATATTTTTGAAAAACACCCCGTAACTCTGAAACGGTAACAGATTTTCACCATCATGTTTTTGACAAAAATTGAGCTCCAGACACCGATATTAGTTTTTGTCTATCTCCTATAGAAAAGGGGGTTCCATTTAAAAGCGCCGAATTTGACCCACTCTGAACATTTTTTACAAATCAATCGCTGTAACTTTTTTGACTATAGAAAACTTTTATGAAAATATTCCCAAAGCGCCTTTTTACGTAGAATTTAGTGGTTTAAGTATAATTTTTTGAAAATGAATAACTAATAACTCTTATGTTGTACATATCATTTGAAATATATTTGAAATATATTCATACCGGTTATAATATAGAGGGTGTTTTAAAAAACATGTGCCATCTCTCCTGGGGAGATTTCTCACATAAAAACAAGATTTATTTTTCATATCAACATAGGTCCGATTCTGCTTTGTATGTTTCGTAGCTACAGGGTGTTAAAGTCTCAATTTTTTTTTGATTTCTTATAATTTTCTTCCAAGTAATTTTAGCGTTTAGAGTGAAATTTTGATGGTAAAACTTACTATACCTGCGACATATTTTAAAGCTAAAAAAGTGTCGACATATTCACCAGGGACGTGCGTATGGGTTATCACTGGAATATTTTTCTAAAAAAGCATGTACGCCACTGATTTTTTTCTCTTGTTAGCAAAATGGTGTAAGCAGTGTAATGCTGATTAAAAGTTGTCTCTTGATATTTTGTCAATTTCGGCCTCCTTGATGAAATAAACGCAATTTTATTAATTTATCTTGATCCAAGTTTAATAGAAACCTTTAAAAAATTTTAATATCATTAACTTGCAAAAGTTTTAAATAAGCACTGATTGCTTTCTCATTAAAAAATGTGAAAAAAGTTCCTATAAACATGGGTATGGAAATGATTAGTTATAGAGTTACAGGATGTTAAATTTTTTTAAAATTACGTTTCTTGTAATTACAAAAAGGCCGAATTCGACAAAATAACAAGAGATAACTTTTAATTGGCATTAAACGGCCAACACAATTTTGATATCAAAGGAAGAAAATCAGTTGCGCACATGTTATTTTTTAAATATTCCAGTGATAACCCATATGCACGCCCTTGATTGAATTTATTGACACTTTTTTAGCATTAAAATACATTTGTCGCATTATTAAAACTACTTGGAAGAAAATTAAAATAAATCGAAAGATTATTAAGATGTTAACACCCTGTAGCTACGAAACATAGCAGAATCGGACCTATGTTAATATGAGAAAAAGTCATATTTTTACGTGAGCAATCTCCCCACGAGAGATGGCACATGTTTTTTGAAACACCCTGTATACTTGATATAATAACTTAAATTTTAAAATAAATGTGATTTTTTTCTTATATTTTTTTTAAGTAAAATAAATTTTAATTTCAGATAGTATTCACTGTCTTATTGGCCACATCTCTTGCTTTATCTCCTGGTGGAGATCCAAGGCAAGCGCAGATTCTCAAGTCAGAATTTGACATTCAGCCTGAAGGAAGCTATCAATTCGCGTAAGTATATTTTTGACCGATTAAAGGATCACCCTTTTTGTGTCTTTTATGGGGTTTTTCGTATACCCCGCTGGCAAGCGAACCTTTAGGTCGGCGTTTACATGTATAGGAGTGAGTCGTTATGGCAATCTAGTAAGTCGGAGTAAGCAAAAATACGAAGTATTTATTACATAACTACTTAATCTGGCGCTAGAATCCTTGCGCTTGAGAAAATACTCGCCTTCTGTCTTTATTCAGTACATCTTATTTTACTAAGCGTGTTGCCCGTACTCTTCGTACACATGAAAACCGGCACCCAAGACCAGAAATGCCGACCTTTAGTATAAGTCGAGACATTATGATGCGATTATTACATCATTATACTACTTTTTTTTATGAAACTAAAGATACTACAAACAGATTTGTCTTAGCCCTTTTGGTTCCTGAAATACAGGGCAAATTGGAAAATGTTGAAACATTTTTGGACCCCCTTCGCATCTTGGTTATCTTACAACTTATTGCAAAGATGAAAATAACTGAGTTACGTAGAATTTTTGACGAAGAATTCAGTGGTGCATCTAGTTTTTTTGCCGGGAGTTGTCATTTTCGAAATATGACTGAAATTTACGTTTTTCTAAATGGTACACCATGTTTTTATATTTTTATTTTATTTGCCTTGTTATGAGCTTTCTAAAAATACTTTATAGTTTATTCAGTGGGAGATGACGAAGTTCCTATTTTTGTCCTAAAAGAAGTAGCAAATAGTATCTCAGAGCCATTAGCGTATATTATAAATCTATGTTTTATGACAGGGACATTTCCAAATAGCCTAAAAAATGCATATATTCGGGCAATATTTAAGAAAGGTGCAAAAGATGATGAGAGAAATTATAGGCCGATATCTTTATTACCAAACATCAGTAAAATTTTTGAGCAGGTCTTACATAAACGTTTATAGATTTTGTTGAGAAATACGAAATTATATCGGATAAACAAAACGGTTTCATGAAAGGAAGATCAACAATACGAGCTTTATACCAAGCATTATCTTTTGTAATAGAGTCCTTAAATAATGGAAAACAAACTTTAATAATGTGTTTAGACCTTTCTAAGGCATTCGATAGTGTCGATCACAAATTTTTATTAATGAAATTGGAGCGATTTGGAATTAGGGGAACTGCATTAAAATTATTCGAATCATATCTAAGCAATAGAACTCAGCAAATCGTAGAATATGATGATTATGGCAAAAGAGTTATCTCAAATAAAATAGTGCTAAAAAAAGGAGTCCCTCAAGGTTCAGTGCTGGGTCCACTGCTATATATTTTGTATACAAACGATATTCCGAATGTCACTGGCGAAAAGACAATCTTATATGCAGATGATACCACTCTGCTATTTAGCGATGATTTAAAAAATCCGCTAACAGAAAGAGTGACATCTGCTGTCGACACTCTGGTGAATTATTTCGATAATAATGGCTTGACATTAAATATTTCAAAGACACAATGCCTTCTTTTTGGCAATCGGAAGTTTTCAGATTTTGAGCTAATGTATAATAATATTAAAATTAATTCAGTTAAAAGTATAAGGTTTCTGGGAGTGGGAATTGATGAACGACTGGACTGGAGAGGACATATTGAAACCGTGGCGGTTAAAATTGCACAATTTTCTTTTGCGCTGAGGATAATATCAGACGCTGTTGGGGTAGATGCTGCACTTTCAGCGTACTATGCATTTATCTACTCAAGGATAAAGTATGGCATAATATTTTGGGGAAACTCGAGCGATATCGGGAGAATTTTGCTTTTGCAAAAGAAATGCATACGTTCAATATTTAGAATGAAACCCACGGAGAGCTGTAAAAATTATTTTATTGAACAAAAAATACTAACAATAACAAGTATATATGTTGTAGAGTGTATAATGTTTGTTTATGATAACTGGCAATTTTTCAAAAATTTGAAACTAACTCACAATTACCCTACGCGAAATAAGTCCTATTTAGTCGGAGATAAATATAATTTTAGCTACCTACAAAAAAATGTTGATTTCTCATTAATAAAAATGTACAATTTCCTTCCCGAATGTGTTCGAGGTTTGGCAAGAAACAAGTTAAAAGCCACATTAAAAATCTTTCTAGCAAAGAAAGCCTTTTATTCATTAGAAGAATTTTACAGATCCGATAAAGCTGTGTTTATAAGTCTGATATCTAATGTGTAATATTTGTTGTTTGTATATATTAATTCTATCGTTTTTTATTTCTTCTATGTATTTGCTTATTTTACTTAGTTAAGATCTTAGTTTAATTGTAGTATTATCTTAACTGTAATTATATTATTTTGGTGTGGAATATTCTTATTTGACAATGTTTCCATGCCTGTTTGGGCTATTTTATGTGTTTTTATTGTAAACATTGGAAATAAATAAAGAAAAATAATAATAATAAAATAATATTCTTATTGTCTATCCGTAATTGATTTCCGATAATATTTGTTTTTCGACTATAGAACACATTTTTAACACGTCCCGTTCTTCCGTACTAAAATTCAGCCGACTAATAACGAATATCGTCCCCGGCCGGTGAAACTTATTTTCGTTTAGTTACCGTTTCTTTCTATATTGTTAGCTTAGTTTAGTTTCGCTCGCAGTGGCCGCCTACCTTTACTCTTTTTTAACTCCAATGGATTGTACGTGAAAAACTTTATGGGACGCAGTTTTTACCGTTTCAATAAGGTATAAGATAACCAATAAAGTACAAAGGGAGTCAGGGAGAAATATTGCAAAATTTTCAAATTCTCTCTGTATTTCAGAAACTAAGCGGACTGGAACAAATCCTTCAGTAGCGTCTTAAATTTCGTAAAAAAGTAGCATGTTAAAAAGAATGTTTCATAAAAAATGGCAAAGTAAAAGTGATGTGAAAACCGCATCTTTGTATCGCTACTCATAAACGAGATAAAAAAAACCCATAAGGCAAACGAAAATGGGCACAACCAGTGGGAGGATATAATACACAACACAAAAAAGTTCATAATAAAGAAAAATAAATTATCATAATTCTAATCAAAGTAAAAATAGTATACAGAGAAGTAAAAAGGACTTAATCCCTAGAAGTGTGTTAATTTCTGCATTAAGTTCATCAAACCGAAGGAAACAACCATCCGACGACATCCAAGGATCGAAAGTAGGGCGGAAGATGGGAATACACTTCCGGAACCGGTTTGCGGATGGTTGTTTCTTTCGGTCTAATAAACTTAACGCCCAAATTAGTACACTTGTTGTAGTTGGTTGTTTCTCCGTCCACTATTTTTACTTTGATTAGAATTATAATGATTTCTTTTTTTTATATAGAACCCTAAATAAAAAAAAATTGCTTTCCCAAATAAAAAGTGCCGCTTGCGATCCAGAGGCCCTCGCAGTGACATACAGGGTTCGGCAATAGTGCTTTAAACATCTGTAGCTCGTAGGATAAAAACCTTGAGAATTTTGTTTAAGTGCAAACCTAAAGTATGTACTAGGATGTATTTTAGGAAAATATTTTAACTTCTACAGAGTGGCTCAAAAAGTGTGGGTCGATTGGGCTGATTTTTTTTAAATGGAACACCCCGTAATATTAATGCATTTTAGGTTTCCTTTCAGATCACTTTACATAATCCTAAGATATGGGTAAATATATTTTGATAGTTTTAGAGACATAATAATGACCAAATCATTTGTTTCAAATGGAAACCCATTTTTTTATTTCACTAGTGATTTTTCAATTCGTTTACATGTTCTTATACCTAAAATAAATCGTTTTTAAATTGTTTAAGATTTATATAGTTTTAAAGCGTATATTTTTCTTGATTTTAACCAGTAGCCTATGACTTTAAACGTAATCAATAGATTAGGCCATGTCATAATGTGACACTTTGTTAAAAAATCAGTATGTTATCGATTATCATTTCCAGGCCAACTTTGCAATGCTTTTTTTTCGATCATACAATATATTATTAATAATATCAACTATTAGATATCACTAAAGAACGAAAATACGAGATATATTTTTATAAATACACTTTTTTCCATAGCAACTGTTAAAATTGCCTTATATCTATCAAAAATAGTAGGTAGATATAATAGTACTTTAACAGCAAGGGTAGATTTAAATGATACTTTAACAGCGAGGATAGGTTAAAAACTTTATTTCTTCTCGCACGTTTTTTAATTGCTTCCATTTTTTAAAATTTTTGTATTCCTTTTCATAAGTTATTCGGGATTTAAATGGAAGTAGTTTGGATATGGCGTTTGTCGCCTCAGCCTGAATACCTGTTGGTAATTTACTTATTTCGTTTTGAGCCATTTCTGGCGACACAAAACACGAAAAAGAATTAAAAAATATTGACTCTAAACTTACAACTAAAGAGACAGCTTTATTTATTTGTCAAATTATATAGAAACCAACGCCAACCCAGCACAATTTTTTTTCTTCTCGTAATAAATTCCTTGAAATAATAATTTCTGAATATTTTTTAAAACGTAACTCGCTATGGAAAAAAATATTGTTTTATACACGACGATAAAATTGCATTATGGTCTCCCGAAATTAATTCACTCGCGATTTCATCGCTCGTGAACTCGCTTGTGAATTAATCTTTTCGGTCGACGATAAAATACCATTTTATCGTCTTGTATAAAAAATAACTATTTTAAACTTTTAAGCAGCAGTATTTATAAAATAGAAAATTCAAATAATTCGTTTTCTGACAGATGGATATAAATTATATGACTGTTTGACACTTAATGTCAAAGGAAGCTAGATAAAATCAAGAAAAATATACGTTTTCAAACTTAATCTTAAATAACTTAAAAAAGATTTATTTTAGATATAGGAACATGCACAGTTAAAAAGTAACGAATTGAAAACCCTTTTCACTAGTGAAATAAAAAACGTAGATTTCCATTTAAAAAAAATGATTTATGATAATTTTTAATCGTTCAATTCCATGACAGCTACCGCCATTATTATATAACATTTGAATAATTTAATTTTTGAAATAGATTTATTTAAATAAAAATATTATTATATTTATCTAAATAGAGCGACCAGCGAGCCGTCATGCGCCACCTCAAGGAAGGTAATAGCAAACCACCTTGAGTATATATGTTTGCCATGTACAGCCTCTCAAATAGTGCCGTTCGGATTCGGCGATAAACTGTAGGCCCCGTATATTTGTGAAATACGTTGTAAAACAATGACGTGCAAACAATCTCCGATCTAGATATTGTGGTTCTCTAGAAACTTCTAATGCACGCTCAGCCTGGGACACCCTGTATACAAAATATGGATAAATATATATGGCCTAAAAAGGATGATATCGATACAGTCCAAAAAACCTATTTTTTATGGCCCAGTTGAAATGGCGGGTGTTGCACCATTTATTAAAAGAAATGACCTTGTTAACATAAAGAAAATATTTAAATCAATTTGTAAATAGTTTCTATACGTTCTATTTGTTTTTGAAATTTTATATCGTCTATGCTTCGTTGAAGTAAAACAATTAAAAACATGATTTGTAGTAGAAAGATGATCTCATTGATTTGTTGCTAGTTTGATATAAGAATAAAGATATGTTTTTTATGGGTGTTTTAACTTCATTTGATAGTCCAAATTTATTGTCATACCACCGACGACCGGCTGACCACGAAGATAGGCTACATATCGCCATTACGTTTGTTTTATATAAGACTGTCATTATGATTTGGATATATTTAATAAGGTAATATAAAAGTGCATATTTTCTTTAATTTAAAATGACGTTCTTCTATGACATTCCCCATAAAATTTTACATATAAAATGACAGCGATTTTTATTTCACAGCCATCGCTAACACCGTTTATTTCGGTCATATAGTACTTTCTCAGTGGTGGAAGTTTATTAGTTAATTAACATCAAAATATGCATAGTACCTTATTAAGCAAATATCAATTTTAACTACATACCTAGATAACTAACCAAATGGCGACCACTGTTACATCAGAAATTACACGGTACGGTTTGGCATTGTCATAGGAATTAGTGGCATTGTTGGCATTAGTATGGAAATTACTGAAATTAATTGGCAGTAGTTGGCATTATTTGGCAATAGATGGCATTATTTGGCAATAGATGGCATTATTTGGCAATAGATGACATTATTTGACATTAGTTGGCAATAGTTGGCATTAGTTGGCAATTTTTGGCATTAATTTGGCAATGGTGTACAAAATTTTAGCCGCGGTTGCCCCCTCGGAATGTTCTATCTGTCCATATTCGAACCATACTTTATTTTTAGCTCCATCTACGGTTACGTTAGGGTTGCCAACCGTCCTCTATTCCAGAGGGCAGTCCTCTTTTTGATCTCACTGTCCTCTTTTTTCTCACGTATTGAAAAAGTCCTTTTTTACATAGCAAACTCAAAATCTAAAAAATATTCGCCAAATCTGAAGTCATCGCCACAATGTTTTAAACAATTGTTAAAAGATTAACAATTTACACTCGTTTGCACAGAAAAGAAAGTGAAGAAATATTTATGGACAAGAAATATTTGTGGAAGCGATAAACATGTTTAACTATTTTATTTTTACTTACTGTTAGCTTATGTTTTGAAAAAAAATGTTGTTGAAAATGATTTTTAAGAAAGTATAAGAAAGATCATCAATCGCATACTTTTTACATAACATGTTGGTAAATCCTGGACATTTGGACGAGGTTTCAAAAAATGTTTCGCCTGTGCCTCTTTTTAACCCTCTCGTCCTCTATTTTTTATTTTGAAAGTTGGCAACCCTAGGTTACGTGCATAAACCAAGCTTGTAATAATTCTAATTATTATTTTTCTCAGATATGAAACCGATAATGGTATCGCCGCCCAGGAACAAGGCAACATCCAGCCGCAAGGACCGGAACAAGCGATAAAGAGCGTTTCTGGCTCTTTCCAGTTTCTCACGCCCGAAAATGAACAGATCCAGGTGTCTTACATAGCGGACGAGAACGGTTACCAGCCGTCTGGAAACGCGCTGCCCACCCCACCACCAATCCCGGTCGCCATCCAGAGGGCTCTGGAATACATCGCCGCACATCCACCGCCGCCCGAACAGGGCGGGCAAAAGAGATTTTAGACGAGACGAATATGGACCTAGTTAATAAATGTTGTTGATGTGATTTTTATATTATTATTATTATTTTAAATATATGTATATTAATTTTGAAGGAAGTGCATTTTTATTCGTATCATCACTGATATGGTATGGTTGTTACATGAACCATTTCACGATGCTAAGATAAACATATCCTGAGGAATACCGTAGAACATGCATTCAGGAAGTTAATTTAATTGAGTCGGAGATGTGTTGACCTAGCCGCAAAATAATATATATTTATTGTCTATTTTATTATATTTTTTCAAAAAAGGCCTAGCAACTTGGACACTGAACCCTCCATACACCTACCACATCATTGCCTAGTACAGGAACCGCTTTTTTGCGCCGAATTTGCCGGTAGCGGCCGTTGCACCGACATAAAATGTGTTCTGTTGATTCTCCTTCAACTTGACAAAACCTTCTCATGGTTTCGTTAGTTAATCCCATTAGCTTTAGATGCATATTCAGCTTACAATGCCCTGTTAGTAGACCCACTATAGCTTTGACAGTCTTTCTGTCTTGGCTTCAGATCTGCCGTGAATCTCAGCCCTGGTGAATTTTTTTTGAAGACAGTGATGAGTGTGATGAGACCAAAAAGCATAAAATATCTATAAAATATCTGTACCTATGATTTTTTAACTAAAATTTATGTCATGTAGTGTTTCAATCTCAGAAGTTATAGCCATCCAAAATGCCACAGTTGTGTAAATCAGTAAATAAAAGCAATGACTTTTCGATATAACAACAGTTTTATTTCAAACGTTATGTGCTAATAAAATCGCATTTACGATCGGAGATTTACACAATACTTTATCAGTCTATAAAAACAATTTGTACAAATTGTACAATTATTCTGAAAATAATTTTGACAGATTTGATTTCCATGCAATTGATTCTATGCAAATACACATTTCTATGCATTATGTGCATTTGAAAAATATATCATTGAGGTTCGGTTGTAGATACTAATTCCAGAGTGAGTTTAGACTTAAACTAAATTCAACATTTTAATAGGTTGTTTATCAGTACCTAACTTTTTTAGTTCAGTCATTGGGGATCAAAAAAGGAGTCTGCTTGGAAAAAAGTCCGGAAGTTTTAAAACTTTGCAGGTTTATAAGTTTTGGGGTCCCTAACTAAAATCCGTAAAATACACATTTCCAGACTTGCCGCCGGCGCCGCCATCTTGCCAAGATGGCGCCCAAAATCGGTATTATGTAAATATCTCGAAAATTATGCATTTTTTGCAGAAAATTAAAGAGAGCAAAATTAAAGAGAATAAAATTTCCTATAAAAAGGGTTATATGAAAATTTTCGCTAAAGTCAACCGTTTAGGCACAAAATTCCTGGAAATTTTACAATGTTGCGTAAAGTATGATATACATAATATAGTCGATTTTCCGAAATCAAATGTCGATTAGTGTTCACTAAAACTAGTTTTAGTTTAGTTTCTTCAATTTTGTCATGAAACAGCGGCGTATCATTAATTCGCTCATTAATTTATGAATAATTAATTGTCGTGCTGGACAGCATTCATTGCGAACTTACCACCAGGTTCAGCATTGGTCTGGTTGTAATAATTTATTATAATAATAATAAATAATTTTATAATAAATAATAATATATAGTTATATATTAATAATAATATATAATTATATATTATTATTAATAATATGGGCAACGTAGGTAGTAGATTAAATTTACAAGAAAGAAAATCCAGAAAACACCCATTGGTTCTCAAAATTTAAACAAAAAATAGTTAGGAAATTTTCGAAGTAAAATAATTCGGTTATTTTGAACTTATTTGAAAAACGGTAAAGAGAGAATATGATTCTTTTATCGAGATCTACCAGCCCTGAAAATATTTTCACTTATTTAAGACTCACCCTGTATAATAGACCTCTTCTCTCGTTTTTTCATGCTATGCGGTCTCTAGCCAATCTCATCCATTGTTTTCCTGCCTCTGTTATAACTAGTGTTGGGAATAATCGGACGATTTCAATCCTCGAGTATTGATTATCGGGGATTCCCCTAATCGAATAATCAACCGAGGAATCCTCGGTCATAAAATTTTCTTTGTTTACATATCATAAAACGCTAAATACTCCAAAGGCCTTTATAATATAACGATCGATACCGGAATTACAACCATGTAACTGAATGGCCTGAATTATATTGTAATAAAAATAAATAATTATGTCAAATAGGGTTTTTTTAGTAATTTTTTATATTATGGCACAAATGGTTGTCGTCTCGGAGCACTCAGTGATGAGGTGTTCTGGTTGTTAAAAATGGAAAAACATGGTGTTTTCCCATTTTTTCCACAGTATCTATATTCGTCGTTGTTTCTCAGCTTCAATCTATTGAGATGTCCATTGAGGAGACAATGTCCTGTTAAAAACCCCGTGATAGTTTGAAGATTGTTTTTACATAAATCAAGGAAAGTCTTTGATTTTTCTCGGTCGTAAACTCTGAGAAATTTCTTCTATGAGTGTCTTAACAGTTGGAGGATTCCCATTCCGGCATACGGATGGAGCCTTTCAGATTCTTGAGTTCAGCTTTAAGTTGGTTTGCACTTGGGAAGCCCAACGGCTCTAGTCCAGTTAATGGAGTGTTTGCTTCTTTTCTAGCAAGATCTTTGCTAAATAAATGGCTAATAACAGGCTTATTGGCCGAATTTTGAAAAACTATTCAATAAGTTCATTCTTTTTTATTTTCTTTACTTGAGTGTAATTTTCATCTATTTCAAATCCATCCTCAGAACTGTTATACTGAGGTAAATGTTATTGGTGCTAAAAACTATACTAGTACTGTAGAACTATCAGGGCCGGACTTAACAAAGTTGCCGCCCCAGGCTAAAAAAAATTTGCGGCCCCTTACATTTTTTTTTAATTAAAAAAATTACGGATATAAAAAACATTTATTTGAATACAGGACCGAATTCACAATAGAATAGACCGACAGAACAGATCAACACAGAACATAAAATAAATATTAAAATATTCATATAAAATGACAACAAACGAACAACAAACCTATAAGGTTTGCTTATATGCCTATAAAGGTTTCCTACGTACTTTTTTGTTTGTAAAATTATCAATTACTTCATCGTAATTGATAGTTTTAAGGTCGGACTCAATATGTAAAGCTGCCAAATGATTTAGACGTTCTGCTTCCATAGTGGACCGTAAATAAGTTTTAATACGTTTCAATGCAGAAAACGAGCGTTCAGCAGAACAGTTAGTAATAAAAGTACATGTGAAGATTCTTAATGCTATCAAAATATTTGGAAACCGGTCTTGAGCGTTTTTCATAAATTACTTTAAGAAGCTCTGTAGCAGATGGTTTTGCTGACTCAATGCATTTTATAAATTCACTAAGATGTATTAATTCATTAAGCATTGACTCATCTAAATCATTTGGATAACAGGTTATTAAATGTCTGGACTTATCGGTAATGTCGTCAATACTTAAAGCAGATATATCACTAAAGAAACCAAATTTGGTTGAAAAATCGTTGTAGGCACTTTTCCTGTAGGAAAAATTTCAAGGATTAATTTATCAATAATAACATTAAATACATTTATCCTAAAATCGTCCCTAGCGTTAAATAGAGTTTTATTATCACTGGTTTCATCAAATTGTCGTTCAAATGCTCAAAATTTGCTGCCCCCAAAAATCTGCCGCTCCAGGCCCGGGCCTAGTTGGCCTAGACCTAAGTCCGGCACTGAGAACTATCGGACAATTTTGATACTTTTACCTTTTTATTCCGGACGCCAACAAAATGCAAAGACAAATGAATGAAATTCCGCATTGTTCTTAGACGGTGAACGGTTAGATGCAGTATGTAGTCTTTTCTTTGCAGTACAGAAGTCACGAGAATCGTATATTGCCAAAAAATAAAGCCAACTAAACCACTCTCGCTGAAGAAAGGCAAGATTGGTTTGCATTGACAAGGAAGGAAGGATACGTAACATTTTTGTTTCATACGTAACATTCCACTTTTTGCTGTTCCGAAATTTAATATTTTGGGTATAAAAAAAAGGAAATACCAAGAATAAAAAAAAGCAAACCGTGTACAAAATAAAAAATAAATGTAAATGAACTTAAGCAGAAAAAGTATCTGGTTTGACTGAAGAGTATAATAAGGGAGAGACAAATTGGAGTGAAAATACTAGGTACTGGAAACAAAGAAAACAAATGACGACTTAAGTGAAACAGAGGATAACAATGTTGTGTTGAAAAAAAAACTTAGCAATGCTGTAAAATATTTATTAAAATGTATCTACTGGGTAGAAGAAAACGATGTTTCTATGCAAGATATTTTGCTTTTGAAAGGAACAAAAGAAAAGTCTGTTGAGGCAGTAAAATGGATAAGTATATATGCAGATAAAAATTGATTATCTAAAAAAAATAATTCTAATCAATTCAAATTCAAATTCAAATTCAAATTTCTTTATTAGACCCCATTAAGTTTTACAGAATAATATTAGTATTAATAAATGTGTGTCTAAAGGGATCGCACCGCGATTAAAAAACCGATACAATGGCACAAAGTGCCAGAGTGGTGCGACCCCAAACCTTGTCAAGTACCTTGTCAAAGTACCTTGTCAATTGAATTCAAATTAAATATTAATTTTACACTTGTTGAATTTTTTATGTATTTAATGTGTATTAATACGAATTTTATAGTAGGATAAAGTCGGGTACGTTGTACTGGTTTCTAAATTGTACCACTTCAATATTTATTAAGTCCTTTGCCTCTAACGCCTTCTATTTAGCTTGTTTGGCGTCTCATAGTGCCAAAACATTAACCGAGCAACAGTTGATACGTAAGTCTTTAAACGATTCAAGGTAAAGTTCAGAAATTTCTAAAAAACGTGGTTACGCAGTAAGTTTTCGATATTGTAATCTAAGATTTTGTGTCCAGAACATCAATATTTAGTAGTCCGAGTTGAATTTTCCCTAGTTGTTATTGATTTTGCCAGATAACTGGTAAAATCTTTTAGGTAAAACCGGTTCGGTAATTTGTACCAATACTTGGTTTGATAATTTGTACCGGTACAATTTACCAAACTTATGATTTATTTTCAGTTATGCCTCGCAAAGGTATGAAATACTGCCAATGGTCAGAGGACGATGTGAAAATTGCAATAAAAAATATAAAGCTGGGAGATATGGACTCATCTGCAAAAAATATAACATTCCAAAACCCACCTTTAAGAGGCATCTGGTGGGTACAAATGTGAAGGCAAAGCAAGGAACCAAATCATTAGGGCACTTAGCAGTACTTACGGTATTTAGCGCAGAGATCGAGCAAGAGCTAGAAGTCGAAATTTTAAAAATGGAAGAGTCTTTTTATGGTCTTACCATCAAGGATGTAAGAAAAGTGGCATTCCAGTGTGCGGAAAGGAATTCTATTTCCTATAACTTCAACAAAATCACGAAGATGGCTGGTAAGGCATGGTTTTATATTTTCATGAAAAGGTATTCAAGATTCTTGACGCAATCAGAATCAACATCGCTAGCTAGGTGCAAAGGTTTTAATAGACAGAATGTCAACCACTTCTACGACATTTTGGAGAAATTAATTGACTAGTATCAAATAGATTTTTTTAAAACACGAATTTTTAATGTTGATGATTCCAGTTTGTCCACTGTTCAGAAGAAAAGCCAAAAGAGGAAAAAAGAATGTTGGAATAATGGCAAGCGGAAGGGGAATTATTAATACCACGTTGGTAGTTTGCACTAGTGCAGCAGGGCACTATGTAGCACCTATGATAATTTTTAAAAGAAAAAGGATGATGGCCGAACTTGCAGAAGGTGCTCCGCCAGGTTGCTCATTACAAGTTTCAGACACAGGATACATCAACAGTGACTTGTTTGTGGTATGGTTGCCTAAATTTATTGAAGTAGTACGGCCGACTCCCGATCAAAAATTAATTTTAGTCCTGGATTGTCACTCGACCCACTCTAAGAAACTAGAGGCGATTAACTTGGCTAGAGATAACGGCGTCATTCTTCTACAATTGCCAGAGCACACCACGCATCGCCTTCAGCCATTAGACGTTGCAATATTTATGCAGGTTTATTATAAACAAGCAGTTAAAAAGTGGATGGAAGCGTATCCGGGATTAGCGATGACACAGTATCAAGTTGCAAAACTTCTGATGCCTATGGAAAAATCACTTGATGCCTATGGAAAAGCCGCAACAATTCGCTTTGCAATAAATGAATTTTCTAAATGTGGTATTGGGCCAGTAAATAGAAATGTTTCTACTGACATTGATTTTGCTGGAAGTGATACTTTAGTTAATATTAACCTTACCATGATAAATTACAATCAGAAGCAAATATCCATATTGAGGAGAAAGAAGAAGAACCTTCCTACGACGATATTCCTCTTTCTAGATTAGCATCAAAAGCAGACCCCAAAGACCTAAACAACTCAAAAGTCGTGCCCAAAGAAACTCCCAGAGAAACTTTCAGAGAGATATATTATTTAGAGGAACTCCTCCAACAAATTCTAAAGAAAAACCTAAAAGAAGCTGCAAAAAGGAATCTTCAAAGTCCCTTTGAATACTTCTTTTGACGAAATTATTTGCTTGCCAGAACTTAAAAAAATGATTAATAATAAACGACGAGGGCCTAAAAATGCCCAACAAGCAACAATGCTAACCACCACGCCATATAAAGAAGATTTATAAAAAAGGAAAGTCATAGTGGATAAGGTACAAAGGTAGTGGATAATACAACAAAAAAGGAGCAGTTAAGAAAAAAATATCATTAGACATGCCTAAAGAGTTTAAGAACAAAAACTAAAAAAATCTTCTTCTCTTGCTGAGGTGACCAATATTGTCGCAGAAGCAAAAGTTGAGGACTGGTACTGTCAACTCTGCGACGAATGTATCATTGAGGATATGGTTCAATGCAGAAAGTGCCTAAATTCGATTCATGAATCGTGCGCCTCACCTTCAAATCAAGAGTACCTATTATATTTGTGATTTTTGTAGTTAAATTAGTGTCTTTAATTTAATAATTTTCTTTTTTTTTAATTTGTTTAATAAATTTATTACAAAACTTTACTCTTTGAGAGGTATCTTATGCACTTTTGTATGGTACAATTTAGAAAACCGTATAGTACAATTTAACGAACCGGTTGGATAAATTGTACCGTTTAAAGTAAGGTTTTACCAAAAAGCTTTTTATTCTAAGCTTGTAGTATTTGCATTACCTTTCTATTATGCATTTTGATGGAAACATACGAATTAAACATTATTCGCATCAAGTGTCGACTATTCAACAAAACATGTTAGGTGGTACAATTTACCCGACTTTATTCTAAGTAATAAACTGAGTTTATCTTATAGGTATAGTGTATAATATAGATATACATGTAGGTACAATAAGCACAATTTATAAGAACAAAAATAAATTTTAATATGCTTTATAAAGCGTTTTGCGTTATGGTTTAAATAAAAATTAAATTAGTTAAAATTTTGAGTTTAGGTTGGAAACAATAAAAGTATGAAACAATAACATTATAAAGCAAAGTAGCTGTTTCTATATGTGTACGAACCATCTACTGTAACATTATAAACGAAAATTCTAGACACAAAGAAAAAATATATACCGTGAGAACGTTAAAGTGTTGACTGTAACGTCAGCAGACTTTTTTCGTCACGTAACTAAACTGAATAATTAAATATTTTTTGGTCGAAATAGGCTTTTTTCAGTTGTTTTGTGTGTCGGAGCTCTATCGGGGGGAGCCGGGTCGTCTGAAACGACCTCCATATCGATTGTGACGTCACCGCGTTTTCAGGACGCAAGCTCAACATGGCCGCGCTGAAATTCAACATTGGGGGTTTCAGTTTTCAGTGGTGTGGCGTATAACCCTGCGTCAAAAAGGGCATCGCGGCATCTCAAGGACACGCGGACGAACATTTTTTTGTTCTGGACTGAAATCACTCGCCAGACGACTGTTTTCCTTACTCCAATCCCGGATTTTTCGTGTTTAAGTCAGGTATAAACCTGAAAATTATCGGAAAGACAGTTGGACGTTTTTTAAAGAATTTTTCGGGGATACTAAAGTGGGTTTGGCACGGCGACGGTATTTTAATTATTTCCGGGACGGACAAATCTCGCTCTATAAAGTGGACTTAATTTTTGTGAAATTTTTTGTCTTGTATATTTTTCGGATGGTTTTTTTCATTGATCATTGTGATGGGTAAAAGAAAAACCGATCCGAGGATTTGGAAAAAAATCTGCGGGAGGTTCAAATTGAGATAACATGAACATTTGTGTTCAAATAGTAAGTATTATTAATTTGCTTCAAATCGTGGTACTTTATACTAACAAATGAACCAACTATGGAGTTTTTAACAAACTTGATTATAATCGTGAGTGATCTCGATTTTTATATACAGAATGAGTCTTAAATAAAGGCAAATATTTTTAGGGGTAGTATATTTCGACCCCGAAACACGTCTATGAGTTTTTTTTTCGTGAAACAAAAATTTTTGAGAATTTGGAATTTTTAGAAAGAAGAAGAATATTTTTCTAGAAGATTTTTAGTTTTAAGTTAAAAACATAACTTCGTGACAATATGGCAACATGGGTAGTAGATTAAATTTACAAGAAAGAAAACTCAGATAAGATCCAGTGGTTCTCAAAATTTAAGCAAAAAATATATAGAGGGTGGCGTCCTTCATCCACCTCGGTTGATTACACGAAAACGGAAAGATGTAGAAACAAAATATTTTATGGGTATGTGTGGGACGGCAATGTGCACAATTTAAAATTATTTTGAAATGTAAAGGGTATGTCAAAACTAATATCCACACCAAAGTTATAATTTTTCTTATACGGAACACCCGGTATTTTATTTCATATTTGGGTCCTTGGACATAAAATAAGGCATTTATTGTAAGGGTTAAATATGTTTACAAGCTTTGGTTTTTGAAATATATAAAGATATTTAAATATGCATGTTATAATAAAAAAGATTGTCAACACCTTGTACATTGCTTTTCAGAATTAATTCTTGTGCTCAAATTAAGCCAAAAAAATAAACTTTACCTAAAAATTTGATTGCTTCGTTTAATGTATACAGGGGTATCGAAAATTGCTCGTCTATTTTAAATATTTATTTTGCATAAAAACTTAAGTAAAACACTCTGTATTTTTTAAAATATATCCAAGCAGATTCAAACTATATTAGAGTTTCCTATACCTATCTATCTCAGATTTTGAATAAAGAACAATCTTTCAATAATATGGCAACCAAGAAGGCTAGTATCATCATGGCAATTTTCTAGTGAGGGTTAGTAGCTATCGTTTCAAGATCCAAATTAGTTTATTGACTTTATTTAAATTTATACCATTGTACTTTTATTTAATTTATCTACAATAGTTTAATAAATAATATTTATTAAATATGTATTTATATTATTTTATCAAGAAAAACGAAAAAGTAGTTCTTTGATTATTTTACGATGATTTGTAGATATAATTTTCACCCAAATTCATTTTCTTCACTTCCAACGACAGGTTTCTTTTTGCCTAATAGGTTTTTCTCTGCCAAAGACAAGTAGTTTTTCAAAGGGACGCTTATCAGGGAGATGTATATTTCGATATCTTGGAGCATAAGCCCTTGAGGCCAAAAAGCAATTTTCCTCATAAAATAAAATTACTAGTAACATATCCATTCGTTCTACCAGCAGATATTGTTTTATTTTTCTTAATAAAATAATGAATACTTACTTATTAAACTATTGTACAAAAATTTAAGTAAACTGTAATAATCTATATAACAATGTCCATAAACTACTTAGAAACAATGTCACTAGAACATTGCCACGGCGGCGCCACCAGCCATCTTGATTGCCGTTTTATTGAAAAATCGCTTTTTATTCAAAATCTGAGCTAGATAGGTTATAGGAATGCCTAATACAGTTTGAAAGAGGATTTGAATGTGCTTTGATTTATTTAGGATAAAATACAGGGTGTTGCATTTAAAATAATGAAGTTTTTTTTATAAAATAAATCCTTAAAATGGATCACCAATTTTTGGTACCCATGTATAAGTTTAAGGAAGCAATAACATTTTTCAGTAAAGTTTATTTCTCTATCTTTAAACTCAGCACAATAATTAATACTGAAAAGGATTGTACAGGGTGTTAATAATCTATACCTATTGTAGCATGCCATATTTAAATATCCAACCAAACCAAACCAAACCAAACCCTTATAATAAATGCCTTTTTTTGGGCAAAAAAATCCAAAAATGAAATAAAATACCGGGTGTTCGATAAGAAAAAATATAACTTTGGTATGAATATTAGTTCTGAAACACCCTGTATATTTCAAAAAAAATTAAATTGTGCACATTGTCTCCCCACATATACCCATAAAATATTTTGTTTCTACATATTTCCGTTTTCGTATAATCGCCGAGGCGAATGAGGCGAGCCACCCTGTATATTTTTAAAATTTTCAAAGTAAAATTACTCGGTTATACGTTAAAGGCAAATATCTTGAAAATCGTTCACCTTTTCCTACTAAACAAAGAGCACCCGTTTTACGTAAAAAAGTCTAGCTTTTTTATATCATTTGTCGAAATTACTGTATATGTAAGGATAAAAGAAGTACCACCCATAGTACTCTCTACCCTAATGCCTTTCAGGGCTGTTATGGAATTTTTCAACATCGCAATTCGCTTTGGCATTAAAATGTGTGTAAGAGTACCAAATTAAAAAAATAACGGTTTACTAATGTTCATAAAAATAAACAAAATATATTATTTCTATTTAATCTTTCGAGGGCTGTAATTTCTTCGGGAAGCTTTTTTTTTATAGGAACTTTTTGTTTTATTTTTATCTGTAGAATCGCCCACTAAAATTAGATACACTATTTTTTTGACACCCTGTATAAGCCTACAGAAAACGGGTAAAGCGTTTAAAGATCGGGGAAGTTAGCAACTCATTGAAAGCAGGAATTATAAAATGCGATCTTGCTTGGACTGCTACAATCCTGCTTTATCTTGCTTCAAATCTCAACCCACCCACACCTACCAATTTTGAGCTATATAGTTACTTTTATTTTAGTTGATGACTTCTCAGTTAGCAACACATAAGAAGCAGGATCGCCAAAACTGGTTCCTGCTTGCGCTGCTATACCCTTGTTGCATCCTGCTCTAAATTTCATCCCAGCAACACTTGCGGTTTTTAAGATACAGCAAGTTTAAGTCTGATTGGTGACAAAAACAAGTTCCTGCTTTGGCTGCTATCTTCTTCTTGCGGTGCCGTGCCTGTCTTCAGGCTTTGGCGATCTCCATGACTATTTTGTGGAAGAGTTCTCTATCTTCTGCTGCATGAAGCAGCCTCTCCACCCCCAGACCGGTCCAGTTCCGTATATTTCTGAGCCATGACAGTTTCTTTCGACCTACCCATCTTCTATCTTCGACTTTTCCTTGAATAATCAAACGAGGAATATAATATTTCGTGCCACGCATTATGTCTCCGAAGTAGCTCACCTTTCTGGCCTTGATGGTGGTTAACAGTTCCCGATCTTTGTTCAGCTGTCCAAGAACTT